CACTCCTCTAGTAAGGTAAAGGATACCTGAATTAGGAATAAATTATATCTACACCCACTGGAAGGTTGCTTTTATAGAGGTATAAAGTGGTCTCTGTGCAAATGAGAAATATGCCCATACTTTTTAAGTCAGGGCATCTAAATTTGAAAATTTGCCCACTGTGACAAGCCTTCATTTACAAGCAATTCCTGGAAGGAAGTTGGATTTCTCTGGACTGTCACTGGCTAAAATCCTTCCTGTGTCAAATAATTAAGTATAATATTCAGGTTCTTTAAATTAGTATTTGGTTGCATAAAATTACATTCACATTACTTAGTTGGAGCTACAGAGGACATTTTTTACTCCCTTCCTTCTGCTGAGTTGCATCTAGCTCCATGAGCAGTCTCATAAAATTTAATAGGGCTACTTGCAAAGAAAGGTATTGCCTGACTTGAAGTAAAGACAGCCAAATCTCAGCTATATTATGCAGAAACATATGGAACTAAACCAACACAATAACACATACTTAACATAGATGCCTGAAATGGATGCAGCTCTGTTCCCCATCAGTGGAACATTGTTCAATTTACTATTGCCATCTTGGCTACTTCTCGCTGTGATACTTTATAAACAAGACAAATAAGACATCATACTGTCCTGTCATGGCAGTTAAATCTAGAATCAGACAGCATCACAGAAAACTTCAGCCTTCCTGGCACTTCCTCAACAAAGGATATGTTTGTACTGTTGATTATGCTGCTGAAAATAATTTTACTGTGTTGACAGGCATCACTCAACAAAGGTGATGATGAAAATCTGAAAATTAGAACATTAAACGAACACCTGTGACAATTTTCCTGTCAAATTCACAACCAATTAAATATTGAATTATTTGAGATTAGAGGGCCAAATTTCACCCACGGCCTCAGAGCTCATTGCAGCTCACACATTTACACCAGAAATTAATTTGACTCGCGAATCTCTGTCACATAAAAGAAGGCATTACTGACATCTTGAAATGCTCTACTCTAATATTCTTATTTCTTTAGTCACCTCTCTCTCTCCCCCATTGCCATGCATTAGCAGCAAAACCATCATTTTTTTATCAACCTCTAGCAGCTCATATCAACAATGTCATGTTGTGTTCATACACACATGTATGCACACATGAACACATGCACAGAATCATAGAAAAGTAGGGCTTGAAAGAACCTCAGGAGGTATTCTAGTCCAACCCCTGCTCAAGGCAGGATCATCGCCATTTAAACCATTGCAGGCAAGTGTTTATTTGACCTGCTCTTAAGAAAAAAAGAGATACACAAACTAGTGCCCCTATTTGTTGTTTGACATAAAAAGAACACATATATTACTTCTTTTCAAAATGTAATATTCTATGAAGTGTTCTTTGAGGCAGAACATGTATTCCTGTATGCCCTATGTGTTTGAAAAGTCCTGTCCATATTTGTGGTACTGTTGAAGCCATTTTTGTCAGATGAGACAGAAGGCTTTCTGCAGCCTTTTTCTAACTCCTACATTTTTTTGCCCAATCACTGCCAGAGGTCAGTGGATGCAATGATTTCCCCCTGAGAAGCAGGTAGGAGGGTTAATCTTTCTAAACTACAAATGCTACAGCATATGCAAGGAAGCTCCATGAGTCTCAAGAGACACAGAGGGTAAGGGTATTATTGTTACGATAAACTGGTTCCTTCTTCATGGGCTCCCTGTTCTAACCTGCCCCACAACTCCAGCTCACGAAGGTTTCAATATCCAGAGAGTAGACAAATATTTGGACAGGATCCACATTTTAGCAAAAGTTCATAGTTCAAATTTTACACAGGTTTGAGATTCTCAGTGGGAACAGTCTTTCACCAATCTTAGCACCTCCCTGCCTTGCAGCATCCCTTTCATACCTGCAGAACTCTAACCAGGCTTTTAGAAATCAGCGAGTAGAAAGTATAAACCTGCATGACTTCAAGGGCCCTTAGATCCTCTTTTGCTTGCTTTTGCTCCCGTCCACAACTGGCAACAAAGGTAAAGGGGAACCTGTAATGGTACATTCTGAAAGAGAGTAACTTACCAGCTTTCGGTGTCCGTGTAGCATTCTGTAGATACTTGCCACTCTTGTATAAATACAAAACTCTTTCTAGCTGAGAAAGTGTTTCATCTATTCCCCAATGAAGTTCTCCTTTAAAAGTACAGAAAGCAGTGATTTAGACAAACAGCCTCCTTTACAGTAAATAGGAGTTAGACAACAATAAGTTACAAGCCATTAGGATTTAGTTATGCCATATTATATGATGATGGTGTTGTGATATGGACACATTAGGCATTATAAGTGCCTGCCAAATTGAATTTGCACATGCAAGGAGAGCCACATCATGACCCTGCATGTCAAAAACTGAGCAACTAGTATACTGAGACATTGTCTGAATACAATAAAATGGGGCACACACAGGAGAGGAATATTTTTCTCCAGTGATTTCCTTTGAAATCATTTAGAGTATGGTATCCTTAGCCTTCCCACAACATGTATGTAATAGATAGCCCGAAAAAATGCTTTCAGGCATGAGCCCAAGAGTACAGGTAAGGAAAAGTTAAGATAGTCTTCCCCCAAAGTCATGTTACAATGAATCGCTAAGCTAATTTTAAGGTATGCTCTTGATTATGAAGCACAGAGGCATCTCCAAACTCATAGGCAAACGCATGCAAAATATTGGTTTCTAAGACTCAAATTCCTCTAACTGATGGTCCATCAATTAAGCTTTTGGCATGAGAATGTGTGCAGTCTCTTTGGACTGGGATGAATTTCAGCCTGTGGCCTGGATCATTCCTCCTGATATTCTGATAGAGGGGCCTAAACTTTGTCTCAAATCCTACTTTCATCCCATTCTACTGAATTGCAATGGGTACTTCACCCATCCATTGTGAAAATCATCCCTGTGCTGAGGTGTCAAGGCGAAGTATGTATCGCTTAAAATCCCACTGAAGGCCTCAAAATAAGGATGTAAATGGGGTATTTGCTCCTTTGTACAAGGATGAATTTCATTTTAAGCAAGACCAGGCTCTGGCTGTATAGCACTGAAAGTAAATGTAACTCTCTCCTAACACACAAGTATTCAATATCACAGTAGTATATGAGAGGCAGAAATGTGGTAGTATTGTATATTTACAGTGTGATTACCTGTAGCGTTGACTATCACATCCAATAATGGTCTCAATGAAGATGGAGCACTGTGCGGCAGAAGATATGTAAAAAAAAACCTGCAGTGGCAAAGTAACCCAGATTGAAAAATAAAAGTTTACAAGAGCCTAGTAACCACTGAACAACATAAAGAATAAAATTCCAATAGTATATAAGCCACTAACCTATTCAGGAAATATAATCATATTCCTTAATCAAATAAATATATAGCTGGAGCTATTCACACACTTCACACAGCTGTCTGGCATACACACACTACACTTCTATACACAAGGCTGCCTTGTAACTACCTGTAAATGTTCCATTAACACAGAAATTTGCTGTGAAGCCCCATGGATTGTGACTATTTGCAAAGCTGTCTGTGCCTAGACAAACTTTATTAAAGGGACACTGTGAAACTCAGAAGTCTTGTTTTTTTCAAACTGTAAAAAAATGCACAAGTCTGATTTATGCTTCTTTCATTTCATCAATTATTTACTTTCATTTCTACAGTTTTGATAGGCCTTAAAATAAATGGTCAAGAAAAATCCTTCATTCTATTGTTGTGAATCCATCATAATTCAGGATGTCTTCAATATTTCCCTGATGTGGATATAATCTATGTGCATTCATAATGTTCTTGATGCATTCTCTGCTACAAAAAACTGTTAGTCATTCAGGTAGTTCCTTTGCTTTTCATGAGCATGAAAGTTAAAGCAGCAAAAAATGAAGTGGGTTCTACAGTTTCTTAATTTCTTACAAGCTTAAAATAACTACCTAATTGTCATTGTTCTAAAGATCATCTATGCTAAGTGTAATGGGAAAATCTAACTGGAAACAGAAGTTGATGTACTTACAAAAATGTGACATGTCCTATCATTTTGAAACCTGGACTCAGTTTAAAAAAATAAATTAGGAAAGTTAAATCAGCATGTTTTTATCTAACATTTAAGGTACACACAATTTTCCAAGGCCACTTTAAATGCCTACTACAAAGTCACTCTTACTAACCTCTGCAAACTTAGTTTTACTAGGAAGATTAGATAAGATGGACAGTTCAGAATTTGGTAATCTAAACAAAAATATCAGACATAAATACTAGGTAATGAGCAGAATGGTAACACAAATAGGAAATTTGACTTTGAGTTGCTCTTTTATATCTAAACTGTAAAGTAAAGTAAAACCTTTTTTCACATACAGAGACCACATTGTCAAACACAAACTGTAGTGAATCATACTCATTTGAGAGAATAAAGCACCTCTTACATAAGCATAAAATTAAAAAAATTAGGTTATTGGTGGGAAAATGTCAATCAGAGGATTCTGTATTATAGCCAACTCAACTGAGATATTCCACTTTATATATTTCCCAAAGATGTTAAGTTCTGCTTTCCAAATGAATATTTACATCACCATCTAGGATTATTATATAGATTTTTTTCAGGGATGTACATAAATATGATTGTAAAAATGATCAAGAAAACTTGAAACTAATTATTTTTCTAGTGAACTGAAACACTTTTGGCCTATGGAGATTGCTCCTGAACAGCTTTCTGCAAGAATTCAATAGCCATTGCTTACTTCTTTTCTGTTAGGAAGTTGCAGTTGGGCAGGAAAGTCACCTAGCATAGGTTCTGTTCCTCAGCTGGGTGACTAAGCAAATATCTCTGGTATGAACAGCCACATATCCAACTTTAATATTCACATACATTGGTGTCAGTAAAACCTGATCAAAAGAATGCTTGTGAAACATATGTCATGAAGCTAAAAGGGATCGTGGTTTCATCTAGTCTGCCCCTCTGCATAACACACACAGCAGGTCTTCCCTAGATCAATTCCTGTTAGAATTAGAACATATTTTTAGAAAAATAGCCTTGATTTAAGAATGGCCAGTGATGAATAATCTATCACAGCTCTTGGTAAATTGTTCCAGTGTTTAATTGCCAACACTGTTAAGGGTCTGCACCTTGAAAGAAAAGAAAAAACAAGAGAGATGCAAAGGTAATTTTTAAAACTTTTTTTAAAAAGGCACTCCAAAACTTGCCAGGTTTTTTTTTTTGCAGTATTTTCTCAGTTCTAATTATTCCTTTTGAGAAGAAAGCTGGTATTTCCCATGACTGACTAATAAATTTCAAAACTCCTGAAAATACATGCAGTTCATGGATGTACTACTGCTTAGGAACACGAGGTAGCAGATCATAGGATCCTTTTCCCATGCTTTGAGAAAGTAATACAACCATTCATCTGCCATCACGATGATTGAATGGCAAGGGAGTAAGGAAACTTGAAAACCTAATTGTCCACATCAAATGGGCTCAGACGTTATCTTTGCCGAATGAGGACACAGATTCATAAAAGGATAGTTGTAGGCTGGTATGTAGCGAGTCTGCTGTCAAGCCAAAGCCTGTGGCTTAATAATAAGTAAAAATGGGGACCAAAAACACAAACTGATGAGCACACAAAATAGTTCAGAAGCACTCTCCCAAATGTTAACTGTGATAGGAAAAGACTATCTTCTTCAATAAGACCAGTAACCACACCGCAAGACCACTGAATCATGGGTGTATCCCCATTTAAATCTATAACTAAGATGCATAGCTGCCTATTAGTTTTTTTCTGACCAGACCAGCAAAATGGTTCTAACCAGAAACTAGCTAGCTAAGCAGTATCTTTAATCCAAGCAGATGGAAATGGAAAATTTTGCAGGACACGCTAAAAACTGTTGCGCAAAAAGCACGTGGCAGTCATGTGGTAGAATCCATTTTAGTGTGGTCAGCTAATGTAACACATATGCTGGCAAGCACATTAGGAGAAAAGCAGAAGACCTCACTGGAGAAGACTCTTCTAGCTGTGGTCTGGCAGACAGAAAATGGCATACTTGAAAGGAAAGACTAAGAAACGCGCACATGATCATGCCATCTTGAGATCTTCTGTCTTCCTATCTGAAGCAGGCAACAGGGCCCTGTGCCTCACCAGTGCCCTTCAACATCAAGCCACAGCACAACCAGGAGCAGTGCATTAAGACTCAATTCCCAATCTCTTGAAAGCTAATTATAAACATCCTGGGGAACCAGAATGTGGTCCTCAGAATGAGTACAGCAATTAAAGTAAGGAATAAGCCAAGACCATAGATGCAAATCAGGCATGTAAAGCTACTCAGTTGTAAGCCGGAACAAAATTTAAGAAATAATATTTTAAAGGTGGACATTTAAGTTAGATACTTTCTTCAAAGCTCTGACTAGCCATTCATAAATCCACTGTCCTACCCATAAACAATATGCATGCCATGAACCATAAACTATGGATGCAGACCTCAGTGTGGGGCACCTAGAGGTGGATGGGGTTAGCACAGGAAGGAAGACAATCCTTGCTACCCAAAAATAGGTCAGGTGGTTCCAGGAGGAAGCAAAGAAGAAAACAGCAGGGAAAGAACTAAAAGGTAGAGCTAGTTAGTTTTAAAATATTCCTGAAGTCACCTCAAACTTCTACCTCATTTGTGCCACATGTACAAAGGTGGTAAGGCTTGCATCTCAAAAGTCTTATGAGAATTATTTTTATAATGTTAAAAGATTATTAATGCTATTAAAAATTAAAGATTAAAAATGCTATATTAATGGTGAGTGCTTTCATTAAATGAAATGTGTTTATAATTAGTCTAACAGAGCCTGATCCAATATGTTTCCATGGTCTACAGTGGCTGTAAATGATTACACAGCATGTTTTGTCAAACTGTATTCACTTCTGAAAGATAATGAATGGTATACCTGTATGCATTGTAAAGATTCCTCTTTTCATTCATATTTTGACATCGGGCCTCAACAGAGCAGGGAAGAGTGAAATTTCTTGCTGGGAACTCCATGAAACAGTCACTGTTACTGGTACAAGAGCTTTCTTCGATGCTAGCATCATCCAGATCTGTCACTTTCAGCTCTCCATCTACAATCACAAACTGTCGAGGTCGAAAATCCAACAACGTCACAGAGCCAAGAGGAGAGTGAGCCAAATAATGCAAAAGACGAACCAAGCTGAGACATATCTGAAATTTAAAGTATAGGCATCTTTTGAGGGTTTTTTCCCTTGAACAAAACATAAAATGCAGCTGGCTGAAATTAAGTAACATGCATAAATGACCAAGTATCAGCTGACTTATCATCAAAATGAAACCAACTACCTAAAATTTAATTTGTATTTACACAGTTGATCATAACAATCTTAGAAGCTTCTTCACCATTTTTTTTTCACATCATTACTATAGGGTTGTAATTTAATAAGACCCAAAAAAAGCACCAGTCTCTCAAGTCTCAGTAGAAGTGAAAATATTTGTTTTTAACAAAATGTGACAGAGACACTGATCCCCTGGAAGAGTTACAAGCTTAAATTCATGTACTTAAAGTAGTACCATTAGCATTAACTGAACTACTAACAATGAATATGATTAAGCAAATGCATAAGTCTTTGCAAGATCAGAGCCTAGCCATGTAGATAAACCCTTATGTCTGCGCAGGATTCCTTTCAAGCAAGTGAGGCTCCGCACAGGTGCAAGCAGCCTGCCTAGGCAGATCAGATTGCAAGACTAAGACCACTGCATGCAAATGATACAGACTTTGCCCTTCCGGTCTTGGACTCAGCTCTTTCGATCTTACTGAGGTACAGCTTTCTGTTCATTTACCTAAAGCCTGGACAATATGCCTTTAAATGATTATGTATTAACAAATTATTAATACAAAACAAATATTAATATGTACATAGTGAAATATTTGCATGCTTGGTCCATGTATTAAATTAATTGCAGGTATTTTACAGTTCAGGAAGCTTGTTCTTGTTTACATATATGCTTGGGGGGTTTAATTAAAGGGCTGTTGAAGCCTCTTATATTAAAGAAATCAAATCAAAATTCAGGCTGGGGCATAAATAATATACACAGGGGAGTACTTATATGCATACGTCAGAAGAAGGCAGAGGTTGGGCATGTCTCATGTTATACCTCAGAGACTTCTGTGGAATATTAGGACTATCAGACACTTCTACAATCATTTCCCTGTCTTGCCAAGTTAGAATATTGTTATCCCACTTAAATGATACCAAAAGTTTATGTAGAGATACTTGAGGGTATAACTGAAATCAGGCATGGTTATGGGATGTCTGGATTGACTGTTCTTTTGTCCTTCTTGAAATTCATAATATTGTTTTATGCAATGCCCCAGAGGACATT